AAAACGTGTAAAAGGGAATATGATATTGATACATTTAGATTACAATGTGTATTTTTTTGAATAGTTAATCATTTGTATTGTAGTATATTGTGTGTTTTATATTTCAGGGTGTTTCAAACTATCGCAAAAGCAGATGATGTCATAGTACTCCTTAATTTAGTGAGTGTATTAGGTAGTTTTTTTTTCATCTTAAGTGATTTGTGTAAAAGTCCTTGGACAATTTTGAGAACAAAGATATTTCACCTGAGGATAATTAGTGTATATAACGTCTTGCAATGGAGCATTTTGATTGGCTGAGAAGTACTAGGTGGATATAGATGATTTTTAAGTGGATCAAATATAGAAATTTTGTAAAATTTATAAATATCAAATATATTGACATGTAATATCATTCTTTCATGCTTTCAGGGAATTTTGATGGTAGTGACTTTCCTCCCATTTTCTGTAAGTAATGAATGTGTACATTATATTCATGAAAGATCGCCTAATGCATAGAAGATAAAATACATGCATTGGTTTTAATTGTTAACAATATGCAAATATTTCTAACATTTATTTTTAGAATTGATGTTGCCGAGCTATGTCCATGCACTGTAAAAAAATTGGAAACACAATTTGTCCTAGTTCATTTATATATATATTCTAATTTGTATATGACTTGAGTAATAATAATGTTGATGGATTTTTCTCTGTTCATATGCACACATTATATACACTCTACATGCCTGGTTTGCTAAAGTTCTTTTTATTGAGATCACTTAATATACAAGGAACAGCAAGGTTCTAATGAAAATATACATTAAATATGAACATGGCATTTAAACCAATTAGTGATCAGATTACATTAGGTAACTACTATAAACCAATCAGAGTTCAGATTACATTAGGTAACTATATAAGCCAACCAGTTATTAGATTACATTAGGTAACTACTATTAACCAATCAGTTATCAAATTATATTAGGTACATGTAACTACTATAAACCATTTAGGGTTCAGATTACATTAAGTAACTTCTATAAACCAATCAGTTATCAGATTACATTAGGTGATTACTATAAACCAACCGAGGATCAGATTATATTAGGTGATTACTATAAACCAATCAGGGTTCAGATTACATTAGGTAACTACTATAAACCAACCGAGGATCAGATTACATTTGGTAACTACTATAAACCAACCGAGGATCAGATTACATTAGGTAACTACTATAAACCAATCGAGGATCAGATTATATTAGGTAAATACTATAAACCAATCGAGGATCAGATTACATTAGGTAACTACTATAAACT